TTATGCTTTAATATTAACATGAACATGGTTATGATTATAATTGTTATAATTTATGATTATTATTATTTTGATGATGTTTATTTTATTTATGATGATATTATTATTTCATGATTATTTTCAATTATAATTAATTATTTATTATGTTGCTTGATTATTTATATTTATTGCTTGATCACACATTTATTGCATGTTTAAAGGGAATTGGTACTTGTAATCACGCTTAATAAGATATTTAATAATCTTGTTTAGGGTTAATTGTGATTATAATTTCAAGTGATCGCCAATAATAGTTTTATTTGTGCATTAATATTCAACCAACATAGATAAACAAGTTTAGGGTTAAACCTAATGATTGCATGTTAATTAAAAAGCGCACATGAATACGATCAGAATAAAGTAGAGGCCTATTATTAGGGCAGGTTCAATCTCTTTAAGGTTGGATTTGTACCATCATCCCCGAACCCTTATTTGGTCCTAGACCTTATGGAGTTGACGATCTCTTTGATCGTTAAGGGATGAACGGTTTACAAGTTCCTAAAACTTGTTGGCGACTCTTTTACTCTATCTTCTTCCCTTTTGGACGCCACCGTACTTTAGTGTATGATCACAGTGGGGTTCAAGCTAGGGGTTAACGCTTGAAATTATTCCCTACAATACCGCATACGCGTCGACTCTTCTATGGGGCGTGCTTGCAACACAAGCCACAAAGGCCACACAAGCAAGTTGTTGTGCGCATTGTGCCACAAGCTTGTGGTAGACCCACATAAACACTCAAGCTGCACCAAGCAAGCACGAGCATTGCACACAACCGCTCAAGCTTGCACCAGCTACGGCCAGCCATGCGATGCACGCAAGGTGCGCATATGGCATGATGCTGCTGCTTGTTGTTGGCTGGCGAGGCACGATGCTGGAAGAAAGCAGCAGCCACGCAAATGGCAGCACACAAGCTCGAGGGAGCCTACTTAGCAGCCGCACGCGGGCTACTATGTAGCTCGACTAGCCAAGTAAAGCTTTTGCCTCGATTTTCATGCCATAGCCTTGGGTATCCGACCCATATTTTGCGTGGCAAATAATCAATTCTAAATTAATTTTAGAATTATTAAAATGAGCTAAAATGAAAAATTAATACAAATCCAACTTAAATTAAAAAAATTCATTAAGGGGTATATAGCCAAAATAATTCCCAAGAACCATTCTTTAATAAAATTTGTTTAACTTGGTGCAACATAATTTACAAGGCTAATAAATCGCTATTAATTTAAATTAATCATCATATTTTGACCAAATAAAGGGAAGTTTGAACTGTGAACACAAATATTCAAATAAAGATTCCAACTTTAACTTGTTAATCCTTGAAAAATTATATCTTCTAATTTGAAGATAAATGAAATTTCTAACATAAGATTCAAAGTTTATGATTCCAATCAAATAAATACATGATTAAATCATAGGTTCAACAAAAAATTCATGGAATTTAGTAAATCAAAGTTTCAATCACTTAAAACAATTAAAGATTGAATCTTTTGTACTTAAAAGCATCAAAGAACAAATTTTTCGCACATAATGCAATGGATTTGCAATTATGTGAAAATAAAAACCAAACTTTCAAGCACTAATTACTACCAAGTAACCATGCTTAAAGAGGTTCAAATTGCATATAAAAAAGGAAAGAACCAAATACATAACCACCATAATTATGCCATTAAAATTCAATGTTAGAAAGACTTTAAATTTTTCGTCAAAAGAAAAAATCACTCGATAATGGCATTTCTGGTCGTTGTTTTGCGAAAAACACAGCTCTATAAGTGTAAAACAATTTCTAGAACACCTTTTTCACCCAAATTTCACTATTTTTGGGCAAAAATCTTGGTTTTGGGCTTAAGAAAGCTTTAATACGAGCTTAAAAAAAGTAAAACCGAGCTACTAATAATCTAATTAGCAACATAAAAACAGAAAAATTAAGCCATAAAAACACCTTGAAAAATATAATTATAAAAATAAATAAGCAAGGCTCCGGTACCGCTGTTTGATTTTGATGAGTACGACTTACTGCGGAAGGAAACTCTAGCAAAGACCACACTCACAATTAATATAATCATAAAACATAATTAACTTAAACAACAAGATTAAGAAAGAGATTAATACCTTTGGCGCATGCTTCACACTCATTAAAAGAGCTCTTACTTCGAAGGCTCTAAGTCTCGCTCGCACGAAGACCTCCAACGGAAGTCCACCCGCAACTCGACCCCGAAAACGGTCTAATTCTTAGAGGTTAGCTAAGCGCGACCTAAACCCGAGTAATTATATATGTTCAAATGTTATCTCAATAGAGATGCCTTTTTCAACACCTTACTCAAGTGCTTTTCCCAATACCCCAACTTAAGTATTTATGGGTAAAAGCATGAGTGAGATTTGCTCTTGCATTAATATGGGAGATTTTATTTTTAAATTAAAAATAAAATTAATTATCAAGCTACTAAGAATTAAACAAGTGGCATATTTAGAAGAAAGGTTAGGTGATGACCACTTGGAAAAGGGGGGACCAAGCTTGCTCCCCAATCTTGTCCCATAACCGACCACCTACACCCTTAAGCCTCCAATCCACGCGCGTTACGTGGCAGCCTCACTAGGGCACTAAGGCACCCTAAGTGCAGTGTGGCTGTTGTTGCACACTTGGCCCAGCATGCCACACACATATGTGCGGGCTGCTGACCAAGGCCTGCTAGCACACCATGCATATATGTGTAGACTGCTGGCCGAGGCCTGCTAGCACGCCATGCACATATGTGCGGGTTGCTGGTCAGGGCCTGCTAGCACGCCACGCAAATATGTGCGGGCTACTTGGCAGCCTAGCTAGCCATGATGCGCTAGCAAGCACCAGCTAGCCTAGGCTCGGCTTGGTGCGCTTCGTAGCCATCGTGCTTGGCCATATGCCCCTAGCTTGGTTTTCTTAGGGCATTTTAAAGCTAGGGGTGTTTTGGTAATTTTGTTGATTAATTAGTAAATTTCTCCTCTCGTCTTTTAAATTTTTCGACTTGACTTCCAACTCTCGGTTTCAATGCTCCAAGCACGAATTTCCGACGTCTAAATATTAATTACTCGGGAGACTCGTTAATTCCTTCTGAATTAATTCGTCGCGTCGTTTCGTTAGTTGCTTTGGTGTGACCCGAAGGGTTTGGTCAGATTTATCTATAATATTAATTATACATTAATATTAATGATCGGAAGCGGCCTCCACCTAGGATTTCCGATCACTTGACCTCCATGAATAATTAGCTTTCTGATAATTCCAAACCCTTTATCGGAATAATACACTTTTTCGAAGGACACCATTCCTTTTAGTAGCAGGCTGGGGACCTGAGTGGCAGGTCATGGATGCGGGCCGAAGGGTGGCAGCCCAACTTTACCCATCTTGAGGCTCAAGGTTGGGTGCCATATGGTTAGCTCACAATGAATGTGATTTCCCTTGGGAGCAAGTGAGGAAGTGGTCTTCACCTTACCATGTGACACTTGTTACTTAGTGATTCCTTGGTTTATTTAACTAGGAATTGAATTCAAATTTTTTTCCATGTGGAATCTTTTTGAGAAATAGTCTTACATTGAAAGATGAGAGGAATTCACAAGGAAGCACTCTTATAAATAGCTAAGGTATATCTTGGGATTATTCACTTCAGTAGGAACTCAGAAAGGAATCCCCACTTCAGAGAAAACCTTAAAATTCATATAATACTCGAGTAGTGTTTTGGTCCGACTAAGCTAAAGTCCGAGTAAGAGACCGACCAAGTCGAGTTACGGGTGGATACCGCAGGAGGTCTCTGCAATTGCAAGACTTGGCTTTGAAAGCATGCGACAAGGGTAAGATCGTCTTTTCTCTCTTTCTTGTTATTTATGTCATTTAGTTATATGAATTGTGAGCGGGTCTTGGGGGTCAGGTTTTCTTCCAAGATGAGATAAACTTACCAAAACTTAACAGTGATATCGAAGCCTTGCTCATTTATTTTTGTAACTAAAATTATCAAGGTCTTAAAATAGATTTAATATCTGGTTGTGTTGCTAATTAGATAAGTAGCTCGATTTTATTAATTTTAATCTCGTTGTATTTAGAATTTTGGCTATTGAGCTAAGAATTTCGCCTAAGACTAGTGAATTTTTGGTGGAATCGATATTCTAGAAACAATATGTTCCTTTTCGGTTTGCAAAAAAGCGAAATTCTGCTGAGAAATGCCTGTTTTGAGGGATTTTTCGTTTTGACAAAATTTTTAAATCTTCTAAACCTTTAATCTTGATGGCATATTAATTGTGATAATGTATTTGGTTCTTTCCTTTATGCTTCTGCAATTTTACATCACTTTTGAGCATAATTACTTACTAGTAATTGGTGCTTAATAGTTGGCTCAAATGTTCACGTAATTGCTTTAAGTATGAATAGTTTGTATCTTGAGGCTCTTAAGTTCTAAAGATTCAATATTTAGTTATTTTCACCACTACAAAAATTAGCAAACAAACCGTCCAAATATACCTTAGAAACCGCCCTAGAACGGGTCTCTATCTTAGGGGTTTGTTTGAGAAAGAGACATGTCCAAATGAGGGGGTCGGTTTTTAAGAAAGAACAGACCCGTTATTAAGAAAATGGGGTCTGGCATGTTGATTATTATAAAGTACAATTTCATAGGAGAAGAGACCCGTCATTAGAGTGATGGGGTTAGTTTGTTTAATAGATGAGACTCGTCATTACAGAAATGGGGTCTGTTTGATAAATGGAAACAAACCTCATAGACTGTTTTCTAGCTTTTTAATTTAAAAAAAAATAATTTAATTTGTTGTGTTTTAGTTTTGTTTTTAAATTTGATAATTTGTGTTCGATTAGAATTGGCGGAAATGTAAATACATCAAAAATCAACAAATGTGTTTTTTTTCATATTCAAATCAAACAATAAATAATCCATACAACGTTTTGAAACAAAAAATGTATGTACCTGTATAAACTAGAAATTTACAACTAAAACTAATTGAAATCTAAATTTATAAGTAAAAACTAAATGAAATTTACAAGAATAAACTACGGAGATCTACTGGCAGATAGACCAAATTATAGTTCTCAAATCTTGATAAAGCCAACGTAATCAACATTGCAGTCTCTAAGTTCATTTGATTGGCACTCAAGAGTTCATTTATTTCCATTCAACCTGAATACAAATTAACAAGAATCACAAAATAGTGAGAACAATTAATAACTTAAAAAATGAGAAAATTTAAATGAATAATTACTTACTCAACTTTATGAAATTAAGTCCCCGCTTTTGCCCATCCCGATGACCCCTTCATGTGTCAAACAATTTAACCAAAATTAAATTTAAAAAAAAAAACAAAAATTCGAGAACGGGGGGCGAAATAACTTGGAAGAGACTGTGGGTTCTATATTTCAAGAAAAATTAATCAGTGGGATGAAAATTGTTTAAGCAATAAAAAAAATAGCCAATTCATCCGTAACAATCAAGAAAAAAATACATATCAACATTAAAAAGTAGAAGGAAAATAAAAAACTGAGAATACCATTTATTCGGTGCTAAGGCTTATGTTGCCTAACAATAATATCAGGCATAGGCATAACCTTCGTACGAAGATCTGTGTTATCTTCTAATGTCCACCCTTGTTCCCCTTCATTAATACTTATATGATATAAAGCTTCTTTGCTTCGGTGTTATCTGCATAGTTCACCGTCGCCACTAGTAAACCCCCCCTATCCTACCGCAAATCAAAATCAAACATAATTTAAGGTTTCTGAGATAATTTTAGTAGTGTGATAGAATTTGGGGGTGATGATTATATTTGAAGTTAATTGTTGTGGGTAGAAATGATAAAGTATGGACATGATTCCAAGTCATGGGTTAGAGAGAGAGGAGGCGTTAGTAAAAAGAAATCACTAGAAAGAGGAGGAAATTTCCTCCAAAGATAAATAAAAAGGGCGATATAGAAATAAAGACCCGAACGAGTAAATTTGTAAAAGAAGGTAAGAGACCTGCTTACTCTGATAATGAGTCTCTTATCTATCTCTTCACCGAAGTGTTGGATCGTAAAAGTCCCGTTAGCTTTGATGATGGATCTCTTACATCTCAAGTTTTTTTGGTTTCATTAAATTGGTGGGTCCTAGTGCATATTAAGACCCGTTATTTTATCCAAGGGGTCTGTTATCTCTCAAAAGTTTTTTTATTATTAAATTAGTGGGTCCCAATACACATTAAAGACCCGTTATCTCTAATATAAGATGTCGTATATCAAACACACCCGTTGGCTGCAATGACAGATCTTTTATTAGCGGTCCTTTTTTTTTCAAATTTTGTAGTAGTGTTTAAGTGATTGGAACTTTGTGTTACTAAATTCCATGTATGTTAATTGAATTATTTTGATTTAATAATTATTAAGTTGATTGGAATCATAAAGTTTCAAATTTGTGATAGATTTTTCATAAATCTTCATATTGTAAGATATAATTTTTCTAAGATTCACAAGTTAGAGTTTGAATCTTTATTTTAATATTTATGTTCATAGTTCCAACTATCTTTTAATTTTGTCAAATCTCAATATTAATTAATGTTGGTTAAATTAATTGTGAGAATAGTTCTTTTTCATTTTATGTTGCATCAAGTTGAAGAAATTTTTTTAAAAGAATAGTTCTTGGAATTAATTTTGTTTAGTGTACTTGATTGATTTTATTACCCCGATGCCTAGCATACCAAGCCGAGAGGCTTAATGTTAAGCACTTTGGGGTTTTAGGCATCGGTTTTGAGCGGCACCTGCAAAATTTCATTTTGCCAAATTTTAGGTTTACCGGCTTAATTAATTAGACTTATTAAGTTAGATGCGGAATTTAGGGGAAGCTTCAATTTTTTAATTGCGCTTAATCATAATCTGTTAAACAGGTTTGACTAGTTTTAATTAGGCGCGTTAATCGGATTAACCACCTATGTTAGTTACTAGTTTACGAGTGTTTAGGCATTGTTATTTGTTTATTGTTTTAAAATGCATGGGCCATTCACATATAGTGAATGGATAAATGGAATGTACATTCTCGCATAGGTTTAATAAAATGGCAACTAGTGGGGTCTGATTAGGATAGAAATTACGGACTGCGTTTTGTCATGTATTTTTGTAAATCTAAATACGGTCCGTGAACCGTTGAGTATTTTTTAACCTTAATATTAAGATTAGTCCTAATCGTAGATAATAGCATTTGGTTTTTTTTTTTGTCTTGAAGACGGAGTGTAGACACCTAATTGTGTCTCCCCAAAAACCAAACTCAGTGGTGAATATCTTTCAAGTCATTGTTTATTAAAAAGGTTAAATGTGAAAGAGACTTGTGAATGTTTCTATTTTAACAAAAATACTTACTTTTGTTTTCAAAAATCATTCATTTTGTATCCTATTTATGAAAAACGTGCAGTCTAGTTTAGTTCGGTCCGTGATAAAGGTCTAATAATGGTGTATTTTGATGGGCTTGAAAAGTCCTTTTTCCAACAATATATTATAAGCCCAATTCCGAAAAATAATGAGGAATTTATGGCCAAACTATCGTGTGGAGGGTGCACAGTTTAATCCCATTCATAAATGTATTAGAATTTATCAGAAGCTTCTAAAATTTTCTAAAAGATCTTAGTTGTCCTTTTTATAAAGATAAGATCAAAGAATTTGAAATTGGATAAAACTTTCCATTTTAAGACCTAATTCTATTCGAAACAAATATCATTCAAAGATGATCAGATATTATTTTCGTACATCAAAATTTTTACCCAAATCTTAATGGTTATATAGATCTTGAATTTATCTTTCCAATGATATATTATAATATTAATCCTGATCTAAAGGAAAAAGATATTAAAGAAATACGAAACTTTATCCAAAATTTACAATGTCCTACTATTTCGACCATATCCTTTTATCTACAAAAGGTTATTCTAATTTTAATTGAGTTCGAAAGTAGGCTTCAGGATCTTTCCAACTACATATTATATGACTTATTTTCACTTCTGGATCAAAAGATATGATAAAAACAAAATACGCAAAAAACTTTCTCAACGCCCCGCAACAGTCCTATAGCGACGTGACAACTCTATCCCGCCGCGCTGGTTTTTGTCGCTCTCTGAGATAACCAATTTTATTTCGATTCAAATTCTAACTCTTTTTAATCCTTTTATGGACTATTTTCTCTATAAATAGGAGTGATATTCCTTGTTTCTAAATCTTCAACAAGCTTAATCATCAACAATAATCTATTTGTCTCTTCTATTTAAAAGCTATCAGCTTTTTCTTTCTCCCTCTTTCTAAGCACTCCCTTTTCAAAATAAAAATACCGCGTTCACGAGAGTTAGACACACCTAGCCAAGCTGGAAGTTGCCTTCACCCTAGACGTGTAATGTTAATAATTTCTGAGGGCTTAGTCCCAAATCCCTATAATTATTAAAATTAATTGTTTGATTTAATATGTTCATTGAAGTTACTAACCTGTGTATTGTTTTAATAGAAAGAGATATGAGGCAACCAAGTAAGTTGTTTTAATTACTCTATTTCTTTAGAATGCATTCTTATATTATTTAATTCCTAGTATCTTGTTAGGATGCTTTTATTGCTTTCTAGTATCATGTTTAGGTTATTTCCTATCTTCTTCTATCATGTTAGTATCATGTTAGGGATAAAGCTTTGATCTTTCCTATTTAGTGACATGCTAGGATTTGTTATTATCTTTGTTAATATCATGCCTAGGATCTTGCTAATATTATGCTTTGATGAGAAGATGATTATGATTATTTGGTGTATCAATATTATGTTATTGCTATTTTCTCTATAAATAGGAGCAATATTCCCCGTTTCTAAATCTTCAACAAGCTTGATCATCTACAATCATCTGTTCATCTCTTCTCTTTAAAAGTTATAAGCTTTTTCTTTCTACCACTTTCTAAGCCCTCCCTTTTCAAATTAAAAATACCGCGTTCACGAGACTTAGACCCACCTAGCCAAGGTTGAAGTTGCCTTTGCCCTAGAAGTGTAATTTTAAAAATTTATGAGGGTGTAGACACCTATAAATGTCTCCCGAAAACAAAATCCGATGATGAACAACCTTTCACCGCCATTATTGGTCGCGTTGAGTATTTAATCTTGGAATGCTTAAATCCATATTTCCATTTCATAAACCAACTCAATTCCTATCCCATTTCCCCAAACCATAACTTATTTTTCACTTTTCGTGCCTTTAAACCCAAAATAATTCATTTCGTGTCCTTTAAAATCATTCATTTCGTGTCCTTTTTATAAAAATGTTTAATACAGTTTATTTTGGTCCATAATATGAGTCAATGATTAAGTAGTTGTATGGGTCTTTAAAAGAGATTTCCAAAGATATATTATAAGCACAAATCCGAGTTATAACGAATAAGTTATGGCAAAAATATTAAACTGAGCCCAAACCGAACCTAAGCCCACCTTACCTACGACCCAATGATCATGTGGTGGGTCCAAATTATTTAATCCTATTACTAAACCAATTAGGATTAATTGGAAGCATCTATAAGTTTCTAAAAGATCCTAATTATCCTTTTTGAAAAGATAAGATTAAAGAGTTTAAAATTGAATAAAACTCCTCTTTTTTAAAGTCTTATTTCTATCCAAATTGAAAGACGTTCAAATATAGACAGATATTATTTTTTTTCCTCATGTTTTTTATCCAAATTTTATATGGTTGGATAGCCCTTGAAATTATCTTTCCAATTATATATTATAATATCAATTCCGAGCTATAACGGAAAAGATATGAATAAAATGTCAAACTATATCCAAAACTAACACCGTCTCACTATTTCGGCTATATCATTAATTCTATAAAATATTTTAATCTGATTTCATCTGGGTTAGAAATTAAACTTCAAGAGTTTTCCAACTATATCTTATTTATTTTATTCCGATTTCTGGAGCAAAAGATATGATAAAAACAAAAACTGTAAAAACGGTTGTCTATCGCAAGAGTTTTAATTCGATTTGAACTCGATCTTTTCTTGATTCTTCGACCTTCTTTTTTCTCTATAAATAGAGGTCATATCCCCCCTTTTTCAATCATCAACAAGCTTGATCATAATATCATTCTACTCTCCTTCTTTAGCCTAAACACTAGCCTCCCCATTCTTTTAGTATTTCTTCCTTTCAGCACTCCAAGGAGTCCATACAATACCTGAAGTTATATACTTTAACCAAGGCATACGTGATAGGTAGAATTAACAGAGGGTTTGGACCAAATTAACTCTACTTTTTATTTAATTTAATTTAATTTTTATTTGATTTATATTTTTATTGAAGTTACTAACAGTTTATTCATGATGTAGCAATTCAAGGAAACGCGAAATATGAGTAATTAATCAATTAATTACTCTTATTTTTATTCTTATTGCTAGTACCTTGATTAGGGTTATTTTATATTTGATTTGACTAACGCTATTATTGCTGAATTGCTTCCAATATTAATGTTTATTTTATTATTGTTATGATCACCATATTGCATGTTTAAAGGGAATATGTAATTGAAAATCACGACTAATAAGATAATTTGGACAACCGGTTTAGGTTCCTTTTTAATCTTGTTATTTAATCAAGTGATTACGATATTTTAGAATTATTTGTTGTGTTAATATTAAACCAATTTAGCTTAATAATAGTTTGGAGCAAAATGAATCTTTGTTTGCATGCCTTTGAGATCGCAGGAATCATTTTTCACTATAAGAATCTAGTAGAGGCCAATACGGGCGAATGTGACTCCATGACTCACTTCGTAACATCATCCCTGATCCTCCTTTCGTGGTACCGAACCATATGGAGTTAGTAATCTCATGGATTATGAATGGGGTGTAACCTTCTCGGGTCAATCGTTGTTGCCTATCGTTGTCCCTTTATCGTGGTTGCCTTTTATGATCCGTGAACGGTTTACAAGTTCCTTAAAAACTTGTTGGCGGCTCCCTACTTTCCTTATCCCTAATCGTATTATGTCAATTCCCACTTTCTATGAGTGTCAAGCATATTCACAACATGCTTTTAACGTAGGCGCACTTCGAGCGACGCCTACAATT